AGGAAACTCGAGGCTAAAGGTTTCAGGTTAATGTTACGCATTTCTCGGCCACTCTTTCAGTTGGAGATCGCGTTTTTAAGCGTTCTGCGTCAGTTTTTATTTAACCTTTTTTTAATCTGTTTTCTGCGTTCCACATCATTACGTCGTACGTTGAGTGTTCTCCGAATACTCAGATGTTGCTGACTACGCTAAAATAATTTTACAAGGAGCAATAAAGGGATAAGCATGTCTTTCATACCTGTGCGACATAAGAGAGATCAGAGACAAGTGAGAAGGTATCAACAAATCCTTTGGAGATAAAAGTCTGCAACAGGATGTTTATCTTGCCGTAATTATTTTCCACTCCTCCCTTTACAGGCAATGGACAGTGCTCAGTCAAATGAAATTCCAGCTCTGATATCTCATCCTCACGGACCTGTAATAATAAATGTAATAAATAAATATATATGATTTATAAAAATCTAAATGATAGATTGTGTAAAAATAAAACATATGAAATGCAGAGCACTTCGAATGTCACGTTTATTTGGGTGAGTTCTCAGGAAAAATCGAGGTCTTCATGTAGTCAGTGATCAGAATTTATTTTCTTTTTTTGGTCAATGGATGCATGAAAGGGAAAACGCGCAAACTGGCGGATGAGAGAAGGGTTACCAATTAAATTAACGCTCCTACCGAGAGAAGTCGGCCTTTGTACGGATTCGTCCGAAGGAAAAATCTATTCCGAAATTTTAAAACAATGGAAACCCTTCCATAGCAACAACTAAAATTAACGATGTAAAATTAATTTTAAAAAAAGATTTAACTCTGGGGGCTTGTGGATAAAAAGAAAGAGTACATCAAATTGTAAGAGCCGTAAGGATTGCCATTCTTAAAGCTTATCTCATTTCTAATTCATTTTCTAACTGCATTTAACATCAAAATTGAAGAGTTGAAATAAACCTTGACTTGTTCGAATTCTTGTGAGTGAGACATCATGGAAAGCACATCGGGTTCAGGCATGTGCGCCTTGAACATCTCATTGAATACCTGAAAGAAAAAGAAACTAAACTACTAAAGGGGGCAGTCACTCTGAAGTCGTTTGGATGTAAATTGTAACTGGTTGACGATTACTCCTTCAAATTACGGTCCTTGAGACGAAAATATTTAGTTGGTTATAGGAATTGTCTACCATGTTTCACTCAGAGAATGAGAGCTACACACTGAATTGAAACGAATACATTGATAATATGGCCTGAAAAACATCAAAAAACGAAAGAGTAGGTCTGGGGCATGAGGCAATATAACGTGATTAGGGAAATCTCTCCTAGCCAGACTGTATGTCCGTCTGTCATCTAACAAGACAGACATGCAGTCAAACAACCGGTCTACCAGAACGTCTGTAATCTAAAAAGACAAACAGACAGCCAAAAGTCAGTCTATCTGTCTGTTAATCTGTCAGTCACCCAGTTTTCTATAGGTCTTTACCCGACTGCGATTCAGTCGGTCAGTCAGTCAGTCAATTTTTCTTGGTTTGCAAGAGATTTTTCATCGTTACTTCTTCGTATGTTTCCTCGTTGTGTGTCTGCGTCTATCATGATCATCTTACCTCTATTGTGTCGTACTTGATGTAGAAATGACTGGCAGTTCTTCCAAGGTCCGTCGAGTTCAGATATCTCGTGCGCGGATCAAACCTTATCATCTTTGCTTTGTCTAAATGACGCGCTGCATTTACAATCAGCTCTCTGCGATGTTCGTGCAGGAGTGGGTCATCCTGAGAAGCACATAAAAACAATAACAGTCGTTAAAAGTTTTATAATCAAAAGTTTTTCTTAACCCTTTTACCCCTGAGCTGAATGACTGGCATCTAATTTCTCCTTACAGTATCATCCTTGAATCAAACGTTAGGGTCACGGGAATAAAGGAAATGATCACCAGTTAAAGAAGGTATTGATTGTTAAATAAACTCTCCCTGTCAACACCCTAAGAAATGTATAGATAACAGTATGGACAAGAGGCAGACTGATGTCAGGGTGTAAAGGGTTAATCATTTTCTCAGCGCCAAGTTTTCCTTAGTCTTCTCTATCAAAATAAATACAAAAGACAAGTGTTCTAAGACAAGTACATCCTAGTCTAGATACAGCTTAACGGACAAACCTCTTTGGTTCCATACGCGATGCCATAAACCAGTGGATTAATGCGCATTCGAATGTAAAGATACGTGTAACTCAGCCATTCAACAGCTTCATCCACTGTGCCTACTGTGCCAAGAGCAATCTGCCAGGCAGGAATTAAATTTGCAATTCAATAAAGAGGTGGTAACGGAATGAGTTCAGACTACTTCTCTAAAAATAAGATCCATCATCGCCTTCAGAAAATACCGTCGGAAACGTCCATGGTTTCAAGCACGAGCATAAATTATCTCTTCCCATTCCCTCTTAACTCTTTAACTCCTATGAGTGACTAGGACATTATCTCCTTACAATATCAGGATCAATATCAGTATCTGGGTAACTGCCCACCTACCCCTCCCCTAACCCAACATTAACCCTAACTTGTCATCAATTGACTGTTGTTGGGTTAGGGGAGGGGTAGGTGGGCAGTTGCCCAGATACTGATATTGATCCCAATATCAATTTAATAACGAGGACAAGTGGTTAGGATAAAGAAAAATATCAATTGGGGATTGTTATATGATCTAATACCCGATTCTCCATACTAACATCTTTAGAATTGTATGATTGACACTGAGAATTCTTAAGTGAAAGGGTTAATGAAGAACATTTCCAAGCAATTCAGACATAAAGAGATACACGTAAGATGTTCTATCTCGCTTGAAGTTGACCAAGTACCCGCGCTACCCACCAAATAACGGTTTTGCAAGAGTAATATGCATGCACTGGTTTTCTTTTGCGCTCTGCATTGTTTTTCCCGCCCTTTTCAGTAGTAGGATCTTTCCCGCGCTTCGAACTTGTTTGTCTGCACTGTTTTACCTGCCCTTTGCAGATGTATCCTGCGCTTCGAACTGATAACCTTTCCCTCAACGCTTAGCATTGTTTTCCCGCCCTTGGCTTTGTTTCAAAACACGTTCTTTTGACTGACCCTTCATCATCGTCTTACCTCAGCATTTAAACTATCAGTCAGGCTCGAAATGAATTGACTCTCAATCGGTGACTGTCTTGTTAGAAGTGAAAGATAATGACTGAGTTTATCGTGTGCTGTGATGATGATTCCCTCGCCTTGATTGTCAAATTGCGGACGACCTGCCCGCCCAAATATCTGCAGCACATCCAGTATGCCGATATCAACAAACGAGCCTTTCTTTGCATCATATACTTGCGTGCCCTGTGGAGGGTGATTACAAAAAAGAACACAAAATTATTATGAACTTACCATAAGAATCAATCGACTGAAAATGTTGGTTCAATTTCAACTACACATGGCCTTAGATCGTGTCAAAAGAGTTTTTCTACTACACCGATCAATTAGCCACCTGCTCTTACTCTCACTTGCATGCATTTTTTATTACACGCGTACGTGTAATGAATGGGAACCGTGCGTGCATCAAGCGCGTGTAATGCTGCAATACACGTGGGCGGTACTCTAAGTAGCGTTAGTCTTTACACAAGTTCTAACCTTAATAATTACAGCATGAGCTGGTAGGTTTACTCCCCAGGCTAAGGTAGCCGTACAAACGAGAACACGAATCAAACCGCGAGCAAACAGCTGTTCCACCATAGTGCGGTCCTGTCTCAACATTCCAGCATGATGGATACTAAACCCGTCTGGAAACAGCTCTCGCAGCTGCTTGTTACGCGATTTCATCACCTGCGAATTAATCCAAGAGTGTTTCAGTGCGGGAGAATTTGTAAAGGCGATAATAGTGGTAAACGAACTGAATTTTTCCATCACTCTGAAAGAATATTTTGGTCCCCTTCAAGTTGACGAAGTTTTGCAAAGCGTAAAATAAATATGATTCAAACTTTCACAACGTGACTTCTTTAGAATTAAAATTAAACCTGCCCTGAATAAGTGCATACGGCCGATCAAAAGTGCTCTATCCAACTCCACCCAGTAGACAACAAACCTGTTTTTCAGCTTGTCCGTATTCAGGCCCTTGTGGAGCACGGAACAAAGCAGAATCTCCCTGATTGGCTGCCATCTCTCGTAATGTCAGCGCTGTCTTGACGGTAGCATTCCGCGCATGCACGAAGACCATAACCTGTCAATAAGGACGGCGAGGTGAGAGCTTCAAAAACAAGACTGCAAAGTAACGAGTAATTACAAGAAGAAAATAAAAAGAAAAAACAATCACGCCGTCTTAGATTTTGGATTTCAATGAAAACTCGAAATTGCCGACGTCCATGACCGTTTGAATTGATCGCAGTCAAATTGAGAAAATCGGAAGCGATTATGTTTTCTTCATGGAAATCAGATCATTGTCATTGTCAGTGATCCTTGGAGGAAGACCACGATGCATTTAATACCCTGAGCGCTCCATTAAGCAGGCAATTTCGCCACTTTAAATGCTGGTGTCAAGTGTAGGGATTCTGGCCGAAATCACTATCCCTGCCCAAGAAAAAATATCACTTTAGATCTCACCTGGTGTCCTTTGTCAACATTTTCCAGCACTTTTTCGTAGCAAACTGTGTCCATGTCGTGTTGCTGTTTAACATAGCCCGTTGCTTTAATCCCAATAAACGTTTGCCCGAGTGGGACTGGACGAAAGCGTCCGTCAAAGAAAAACAGACCCTCGTAAGGGTTGACCCGCAAGAAGTGGGCCACATCAATGTAATTAGGAAGTGTTGCTGATAAACCAACGATACGGATCATGCTCTGTGACGACTCAACCTAAGTTGAAACAAACAGTAGAAAAGTATTAAGCAAGTCGCGTGTTGGTTGAAGAAACGAGATGCGAAGGAAAACTGAAGCCACACGCGGAGGAAGCGAGAACTCGCGTGGCTGATTCTTCCAACGCGTTTTTGGTTTTTGGTTAGCCCACGTGGGTAGACCCACGCTAAATTTTTTTCAAGTAATCATAAGGTCTTCCTTGTTTCGTGTCCACTTAGGTTTAATCAGTGACATATAACTAGGATTAAACACCACAATTGCACTCTGCACTCTCTATATAACATTCTGTCATATTTTGGTATGTTTACCCTAACTCTATTAGTTGATGAACTGCCAAAACGTGAATATTTTAGATCAATTGCTAGGATGGTTCCATGGTTTCTAAAACTACTCAATTAGGTAAAAAAAAGAAAAACCGTTAATGTGTAAGCATTTAACTCACTTGACGAAGAGTTCTGGCTACTAAGCATTCAATAACTGAGCCTCTGTCATCGTGCAGAAGATGGACTTCATCAATGATCAGTAGCTTTACTTGCTGAGAAAGAGCCACGTCCCCAGTGCTCTTACGAGTCACCACGTCCCACTTTTCTGGCGTTGTAATCAGCATCTGTACAAAGGGTAAAAGTTATGTGACACGAGTGGGTAACACGCTCATTAAAAATGTAGGAAGAGCTCAAGAATTACAGATATCTTTCAAAGAAGTCAATTTCTTTGGTTAGAAATGAATGTAGTGGCTGATCATACTTGCGTCTTGAGGATTTCAGATTTTGTAAGTTGCATATCCCCTGTAAGTTCACGGACTGTGATTCCTAAGCAGGCCAACCGCTTTCCAAAGTTTTGAACCATTTCAGCCGCGAGAGCCTTCATTGGAGCCACGTAAATGATCTAGAGGAAAAGACATGCAAACAGTGAATCACACGTCTAAGGCAGGCAAGTGAGATATCCGTTGATTAACGAAACCCGGATAGGATAACTCAACCGCCTTAACGAGTTTGGAAACGCATTCAACCATTCCTACACAGAACTAAAAAGACGACTTTTCAAAATTCCTTACACCTCTTCATTTTCAAATATACCAAAAATTTTCAAGTTTATTCACCATATTTGCAATCCGCGACAACAATCGCCATTCATAACCACCCTAGTTCTTTTTCACTGATATTTTTTTAACCACCTGTTTGCATTGGTTAGCAAACGATTATTTCTTTACTTACGACTGACATAGGACTGACTCTCACCTTCTACTGCTTTGTAACCTTGAATACAGAATTATCAGTACCTTATCATTCTTATTGTTGATGTTATCAATTCAAATAAATGCAATCCAACCTTGAACTTGTCTTTTTTGATGACTCCTGCCTCAATGTTCTGTTTAATCTCCCTCAAAATTGTTAGCATAGCTATGTTTGTTTTTCCTGCACCTGTTGGAGCACTTATCAACAGGTTCTCATTCGTGTTGTATGCTGCATCAAATACAATCGACTGGATCCTGTTAAGGCGCTTCACTCCTTGGAATCCCATTTTGCCAATCTGCAAAGGATGAAAAAACAAAACAATGAGGTTTTTCAACTGATTGTGACTGTTCCTAGCGTATGACATGGTAGAGGAGGCGTAGGAGCCTTAAGGTTAGCACACTAGACTACGGATCGCTAGTTCCAGCCTCGAACCCTAATATGAGCAATTTTCAAATGCCTATCAGAGCTTGTTCTGGTATGCTTGACTTCGCTCAATGGTTGTTCCAGAAAACTCGCGCGAGTTTCTCAACCAATCAGATTCAAGGCTAAAAACCAATCGCAACCAAGTCACACGTTTTCGCGGGCTTTTCACTCTTTCCATGAGAAACTTTTAGTTCTGGTTGGCTCCTTGTGACAGAACAATTTTCGACTGAGTGCCGCAAGTAATCTGCATTTGCTTTGGTTTTCCTTTACTTCGCTCTGTGAGTGGTCCAGAAAACTTACACCTATCTCTTAAACCATCACATGCCATGACTTGGCCATCCGCTCTTCCCGCGCTTTTGACAGTTCGCTTGTTTTTTCTTGAGTTCTCATCGTCTAGTGATGATGTTAGCATTTGTTTTCGACAATCAGTTGAAAACTGTTTTATTTTCCTTTGGTCTAACTGGCTGTTGAGATTGTTTTCGTTTTGGTTTCACGAAACTCAGACGAAATGCACCTTACATTAGCTTTATCAAAACCTATTTCCAATAGCTATTGACTAAGGTGAAGTATTTGTGATATGCTCATTCAAACATTTAAACATTTCATAATATCTAACACTCACCTCATCTAAAGATGAAATTAAAATAGGAGTTTCCTCTTTAGGTGGTAAAGGAGTGTTTGGAGGTATCACAACTTCTTCATAAACTTTAGTGTTTTTCCGTTCTGCATCAGCAGGCAGGGCAATCTAAAATGAATCAAGAACATAAGCATACATTTAACAAATATTGTAAAGCCAAATATTTTTTTTGGGCACTGATTTGCACTTCATATGGTGGATACAACTGTAAGATCTCTGATGGGAATCGGTGTGTTGTAAAGTGAAGACAACGTTTTACCATTGCAGACTTTGGGTTTTAATAACCTGAATTCTAAATACACAAGTACAACAGTGATATACAAAAATTAATAAATAACCTATATAAACAAATAAACACAAAAGACATACTCAAAACCAATAAAACAAAAATTATGCAGATTCCAAGTCTGAGGCATGTTACCAATAGAGTTCTTTGCACGAAGTGATTTAATCGCACATTCATCACTTAACCTCATGGACGATCACCATGAAACTTCTCCTTACAATATCAATACATAATCAAGCAAGCAGGTTATAAGAAAACCCATACCTATCGCTCAGAAGGCATCATCATCAAACCCAAACTCTCTCAATCAATTTAAAAGGAATTTAAGAGGAACAAGAAGGAGAAATACTGTCCACATGTTAGGAGCTACAAGTTCAGGTTTCATCTGCAGGGATTACTCAACTAACCATGTACCAATGCAAGAAAAGAAAGTGGTACCTTGGTGTCTGAAATAAAAGCTGTAGATCGCTGCCTTTCAGCCAAAGCATCAAACACATATGGATACACTTGGCTGGGCTGCACATTCCTCTTTGGTTTTGACAACAATGGTGCACTGGAGGCTTCCTGAAGAGCAATTTCCCTGACAACAACAATAATAGATGTAACCTTGGTCAAAGAAAATTGCTTGCCTCCTTAACCTTGCAGAACCAGCTATACTACTAAGGAGAGAGCTGATAGTTGTATTGAGAGGCTTTTAATTACTTCAAATTACATGTACTATTATGACAATAATTGGTTATTTCTCTAAGAGAAAATGTCATATTTGTCTAGATAAGCTAGGCCTCTGAATTAGCATTTGCATAATAATATACACATTCATGTCAGTGTTCTCCCTTATTTTAAGCATGATAGGTGAGTGTTCTCCCTTATTTTAAGCATGATAGGTAAAATAAATTTTCAAACCGGTAAAGCAATCCTTTTACTTGTTGAATTTTCAAGAATTCCAAGCAATTTTAAATGGTATTAAGTGGTACTTCAAGGCAGTAAATGTTACTGGTTACTGCCTGAAAAGGAGAACACTGCATGTACAACCCAAGGTTGATATATCAATTTTCTACACTATATGCCACATGTTTTTTATGGTTTTAAGCAGAAACTCCCACTTTATTTTCATTTCTCTATCTTCTTATCACCTTTCTGATTGAAATTGTATCGATACGGTGATAAGAAATTCCTACTTAGTCCCTCTCCTAAGGGTGACAGGGATAAAGCTACAATATTTAGGTATATGCACCTCTGAGCTCTCATCAACTCTGGATCAAAGCCAACTTCCCTAAGATATGTCTCATGATCAATATCCTGCTCATCTGTGTGTTTGTCTTTGCGAGCCTGGCGACGCTCTTCCTTTCTTTCTTCCTTTCTCACCTGCCGCATCAATTGTTTCTCCTGTTGTGACTATGAACAAAAATTTATATAAAGTAATTCAATAAGATTTTAAAAAATCAGAGAAAAACACTGAAGCAGAATGATTTTTATTGACTCAACAGGCTGGAAGCTGGTCTCTTTAAGAAGAGAGTGGTGCAGTTGGGCATCACTTGAAAACAACTGCTACTAAATTGCCCTAAACTTCTGAAAAACAGCTGCTAACAAAAATGCTCATGAATTTAAAGCCCCAGCTGTACTGAACTTTCCACTTGCACCAGCACTTGTGAAATTGGCTGCTGACTAAAAACTCAGTCAAAATGTTCTTTTAACTAATTGTAATTGAACCCACCTGTACAGTAACTTGACATCCATAAGTTGGCTTACTTCGACCAGCTGAGGTTTTCACTCTAGTAGTCTCTGAAATTACATGCCATAAACAGAAACAGCAAGCAAACATTAGCTACATTTGCCATAGGGAAAAGTCTGGAGCTCAAATTGTACAACTACCACCATTTTTTGATTCAACAAAAGTCAACATTTTGGCTTATACAAATAAATTAAGCTTTTAAGTTGAATGGCATGTGGCATGTAATTTGAATCTATGTCAGTATTCAAGCAACTACATACCTGACCCTTCCCTAGCCCAATAACAGTCAACTAATATGAAGTCAGGTTTAACATTGGGTAAGAGAGGGGTACATGTATATATAGATGTGCAGTTGCTCAGATACTGACATTGATCTATAATTTACAACTTACCATTTGCTTCACTCAAGTCAGAGGTACTTTCAGAGGTGGCTACAACTATCTTGTATCTGTCAGCTAAGAGTGTTTGAATGAATTCAAAGCGGTCAAACCCAAGAAGCTCAAACAAGTCATTTTGAATAGCTGCATTATCTCTATCAGAACTGAGAATATCAAAAAGTGCTGAACAAAGATCCAAAACTGACAGTCCAGTGCTATTATTTCCAAAATAAAGTTCACACTGATTGCGTAGCCATGAACCATTAATGTCACTGTCGCCATTCACTTCTTCACTTAGTGCCATATTTGAAAGATTTTCTCCCTCTTTTGAATTCCAAAAATCTGTCTGATTTTGAACAGTCTCATCCTCAGATTCCGAAAACAGCTCATCATCTGGTGAAACAACCTTGCTCATAAAAGGTGCAAACTCAATATCACTTCCAAACTCTTTTAAAGGTTCCTCATGTTTTTCCTCACATCTCTTGTTAATTACTGCTAGACAATCTTCAGGAAGAAGTAAAATGATGTTCTGCACAATGTGACAAGCTTTAGTTGCTGCCGAGGCTGGAAATGCTCCAAAGAGACTCTTCAGTTTTGCACTTTCATCCTTTCCAATGTGATTCACATCTTTAAATATTGTAAAAATCAATACTGATGCACTTTCCACAACCTCTACAGATGAATCTTTGCCAGCTAGAACACATCCAAAAAACAAATGTTCAGCCCTTTCAAATAAGTAACCACAATAGTGCCACAGGTTAAACAGGATTCTTAGTTAACATTTCCACACAGCCACATACTACAGTCAAACTAAAGCCATAGTCTCAAAGGCATTTTCTCATTGTCATCACTGTTTTCTTTATCCAGGTACTACATGAACATTGAAATAAGTGTGTATAAGGCTGTGTTAAACATTTTACTGATTCTTAATATATGTTTATCATTTATCAGCACACCTTCTCAAAATATCATGGAAGCACAAGAGGCTTAAAAAAATAAAAAAAACGAACAAACAAGACAGATTACAGTTTTTATGTAGCCTAATCTCTGAGAGAGCTTGAGGCGCCAGTGATATGTGTTCCTGACACAAGTTCATGCAGTTCCGTTATTGCACCATCATATACCAAGGACATATGACCATTTCCGTACAATACATTTAAGCATAACTATTTTGTTTGATTTAGTTTATTCAAATGTGAAGTTTCCTACCAATTTCTGCAGATGTAAGCACAAGTTCCTTAACGAGAGTCTTCGCCTTAAATATAAAAATATTGTTATTTACAAAAATATATATATTTATATAAAAAATTAAATTAATTCATGCGACCTAATCTATGTCGCACGAATATAATCGATGGAAAAATTTTCCACAACTTATCTCTTCCTACCTCTTGTGAAGCATTCCTATCGAGGCTCATTGCATCTAAAATCAAACCTTTTAATTCAGACCAAGACAAAGTTTTTTCAAGTTGCTTCCTCGATCTCGATTGCCTCTTTCTTTTCAAGATATCATCACTCTCTGGAAGCCGTGAAAACGGCGAGGAAAGCCCTGAGAATGCCCTTAGTGACCCTGTTAATCTTGGAAGTTCTATTGGAGGCATATTGAGGACTTGAAAATAAATCCTCAAGAAAACACAAGGCCTTCCTTGACTTTAGCTGAAATTTTGTCTGCCATATTGGCTTACATGATGAGCCCACAGTACAAGAGTTAGAGGTACTGTGTCAAAATTACATTTACTTTGTGTATGGTAACACGTTGGGGTCCCAATGTTATCGTAAAAGGTAAACAGGGATTCATCCGGAGATGTAAGTATAACGAGTGTTTATAATGAGAGGATTTAAAGAAATTCTTTGATGATTGAATAGAGAAATTAATATCTTATGAATGGTATAGCTCTTGCTCTTTTTGGGTCTCCAAATATGATCAGCCTGACTTGTCTTGCGGAACACGAAAACAGCAACCGTGGTTAAAAAAATTACCAGCCATGATTTTACTAGTTTCGGTCTGATCTTCAAGAGATCTAGTTTTGTTGAAGGATTAGGAGTTCCGGAGTGTCGCAAGGCTCACTTCGTTTGCTATAAACCTTTATTAACCTAACTAGACGGGAGACAGAAAAACTCTGATGTTCTTTTCATGTAGATTTCATGCAGTATTCTATATTCTGAATAGAATTTAGTGTATCAGTGGAGATGGATACCCATATTAAACTGACTAGACGGGAAACAGAAAAACTCTGATGTCTCTTTCATGTAGATTTCACGCATTATTCCATATTCTGAATAGAATTTAGTGGATTAATGGAGAGGGAGACCCATACAGTATGTTACTTACCCAGACAAGTGCTGTTTGATCCATCATGAATTGCTATTTTATGGTGTGTACGGACTCCTTATCTTGAACCCTGTACAGACCGGTATAATTGATGTAAAAGTGTAACTGTAGTGTGGACTATAAGACCATTTAAGGCTTTCAGCCTCTTAATTTTTTTCCAATCTTTAGGAGTGAATCAACAGGAAATGAAGCGCAAAAAGGACAAGGCGTAGATGTTGCTTCTGGCCTGGAAGGCGAACCAAACACAACATCTTTTATGCGAAATACCATGGTGAGTAGCACAATGGTCAGTGGAGAAGCATCTGAAACTGATGATGAAGATGAGGAAAATGAGGAAAATCCAGGAAATATGAAAGAAGATGAAGATTTGGCGACAGAAGATAAACATTTAAAAGAGGAAGGAGATGCAGACACTGACATCTTGGAATCTGAACAGGACACAAGTGCAGGGAAAGCCAAGAGACAGAAAATTGTCTATAAGTTTGATTCGTAAGTATTCAACTCATTTATGCCCTTTATACATATAATAATCAATGTCAGATTCTTTAAATTACTTTCTATGCATATGTAGAGCAGCATTGTAATATAAAACTGTTACACAAGTATGACATTGCAATAAGCACTTTATTCATGGCTTATTGCCTTTGGTGTGGACCAATTGAGTGAAAATGAAACTTAAGTATTCTATAGAGTGAAACAGTCACACAATACCAAGGAGTGTGAGTATTACTTCAGTACATTACAGGGATAGTCACAGATATCATCTGCCAAACTTTTAGAATAGCTTATAGAAATTGCTAATGTATACCAGTTTATTTTTCAACTTTGTACAAAAAGGTGGCAAGATATTATCAAACAAACCAGTTTTACTTAAAATTGTTAAATGTTTGCTTGCTACTGAACATAAGAACATTAATTTGTATTGTATGCATATTTGGTATTTTACAACTGTTATATTAATTAATTTTGACACTGCATTTGTTTGCTTTGCTTTTCGATATGACACTGCCAATGTGTCTTTCAAATGATAGTCCATTCCACCGGAAACTGAGTAAGTATTAAACACAGATATTGCTATATACATGTACACTGCATATGACCTGATAGAGTAACATTCAGTTGATTCTCAAAATTGATCAGGGATTGGACTGTTTTTTTCTCTACTCTGTTCTATGATTGGTCAAGAAATCTTGCGTCATCCTTTCAACCAATCAGATTTCAACGTAAAACCAATTTTTATTTGTTTTTTTTTCTGCACCATAGGCAATTTTCTTCTTTTTAGTTAGAGTTCTTATTTGCTTGTTGTGGTTTTAGCCTTGGTTCTGATTAGCCCTGGTCATGACATTGGCATTGGTTTTGTTTTGCCATAATCAATCAAAGACTGCTCTAACTTTGTTCCATGACATTCAACTGCTCAAGAAACTGTTAGCAAGGCATGTATTGTGAAAAAA